ACTTGTTGTATCACGGTTTAACAACATGGTTGAACAACAAAACAACCAACATTCCGAACCCACAAAATTGACCATACAAATGAATGAACCAGCCAAATAATGAACAATTCACGAATGATCAAGTGGTTTTCACAAGAAATAGCATACGGAGGTCACCAAAGGCAGGAGAAGGCCAGCTATTTTAGTGATTATGTGGTTTACTCACTGTGAGCATGAATGTGAATTGAAGCATTTGATAAGGATCCAGTCTCTTTTCAGAAAGCCATGGAATGTGATAATTCTGTGAAAAGTGGTTTAATGCCATGAAGGAAGAAATGCAATCAATGGAGTGACAATCAAGTCTGGGATTTAGTCGAGTTGCCTTGAGGGTCAAAACAAGTTGGGTTGTAAATGGGTTTTAGACCAAATAGGACTCTAAGCAACATGAAAAGAATAAGTCCAGGACTTGTTTGCTAAAGGTTACACTCACGGAAGGAGGCTTGATTATAAAGAGACCCTTTTCTCCAGTTCCAAAAATGGATCTCTTTAAGAATTTATTTTGCTTTGGTGGCTCATTATGATTCTTAGAGCTTTCACCAAATGGATGTAAGACAGCCTTTCTTTAATGGTGACTTTTAGAGGAGGAAAGTATATATATGGAACCAACCAGAGGGGTTTGTTGGTCATTAGGAAAGGAAAACTTGCGTGTGTAAGTATAAAGAGTCAATATAATGGTGAGACTGAAGCAAGCTTCCCGTCAATGGTATCTTAAGTTCAATTTATTACCTCACTTCATATGTTTTATAGAAAAACATTGTTGATCGGTTATTATATTGAAGGTCAGTGGGAGGCAAGCTCATTATGTTAGTCCTATATGTTGAAGACATTTCTTCTTGCTGCGAATTGATGTTGGGTTGTTGCATGATGTAAAGAGGTTTCTCTCTAAGAACTTTGAAATGAAAGATATGGGAGAGGCTCTTGTGATTGGAGGAGAGGCATCCTTTGTGATAGGGATAGAAATATTCCTTGATAGATCACAAGGACTATTAGGATTGTCTCAAAGAGCTTACATTGATAAGGTATTAGAGAGATTCAGAATGGAAAATGCTCTACAGGAATAGTTCCAATTCAGAAAAGAGACAGGTTCAGCGAAATGCAATGTCCTAAGAATGATTTGGAACGTAAAGAGATTTCCATATGTGTCAATGGTTGGGAGCTTAAAGTATGTTCAGACATGTGCTCGACCGGATATTAGTTTCGCCATAGGAACGTTAGGGCAATATCAAAGTAATCCTGAGATTGACCATTAGAAAGCTGCAAAGAAAGTACTTAGGTATTTACAAGGCACTAAGGATCATATACTCACTTATAGAAAGTCCAGCCATTTAGAAGTGGTGGGATACACTCGGATTCAGACTATTTTTGCCCAGTTGTGTAGATTCAGAAAAGTCCTACATTTGGCTTAACTTGTTTCTTCTAGCCGAGGAAGCAGGTATCTGGAAAAGTGGAAAGGCAGTCGTCATTAGCTACTTCCACTATGAAGGCTGAATTTGTGGCATGCTTTTGAGCCACTGTTTCATGCATCTGTGTTGCAGGAAACTTTGTCTCAGGTCTAGGCATTGTCGACAGTATAACTAAGACCGTGAAGGAATTACTATGATAATCCGCAGCTGCTTCTTCCTCTAAGAAGATAGGTACTCTAAGGCAAAGCACATTGGATTAAAGTACCTATTGTGAAAGAATGAAAGTGCAAAAACACCAAAGTTGTTCAATTGAGCATATCGATACTTGATCTGATGATAGCGGATCCGCTAACTAAAGGCTTACCTGCCAAAATCTTCCACTGGCCATATTGATTAGGATGGGCATTATAGAAAAGTCCTTGTTAGCATGATGTTTAATACTATATATTATATATATATATATATATATATATTTATATATTATATATATATATTATATTATATATATATATACATTATGGTTGGTTGCTCATATTTATCGTGACACTTGGAAATTCAATTAAAAGATGTGTTTTTGCTTATGTAATGCGTTACCACATTATAGATGTATTACAAGTAATTGGTTTGAGTGAGATAACAATAACAGTTGATGTAACAATGTATTGATTGTTGAATAGTGTTCTCCACTAAAATTTAATGAATTGAAGTGGTCTGTGATATTATGAAAGAAATCATGTCCGTTCTTCATGACTTGTGACCGCCATAATCCGATCATCTTAATTCAAATTAAGGTTATAAACATGATAGACTCAAGAAATGCACATGGGCTAAGTGGGAGATTGTTAGATTATTTAATTAATCTGAATGTAGCCCATGTAATAAAGGGTTGGTTCTAATAAGGTGGCCAAAGATGATGGTTATTGGGCTCAATAGATAAGAAGCCAGTTAGGGTTTAATACCCTTTCTCTGCCTTTATAAAAAGATAAAGGAATCACAGATTAGGGTTAACACAGAAACAAGAGAGCTGTGACGGCTCCTTTCAAACACATACGAAAATAGTTGTTTGAGAGACTCATAAAAGAAACTCCCGCAGCTGTTATTTCCTCTGACTATTAAGAGAGCACTTATGGACAAAAGGCCAGAGTGAAGAAACGTAGATCTGCTGTTACGGTGAGAATCGGAAATGTCCCAATGAGTGGTTAACCCATTAACATAGATCTTTTTTTGGGGCCGGTTATGGGTCAAGGTACGCTTCCGATTATTATATATTCTTGTTCAAACAAATTCTATGACACAATAGATCTGGGCTATTATTTAAAGTTATTCAACATTCACTACAAAGCTTTCATGAATGAAGGGACTTTCTTTAATTATAGACCTCCATTGAAATTTAAGACCTTTCTTAAGACACAAAGCGTTATGGATCAAGGTACGCTTCCGATTATTATATATTCTTGTCAAACAAATTCTATGAACAATAGATCTGGGCTATATTAAAGTTTATTCAACATTCACTACAAAGCTTCATGAATTGAAGACTTTCTTTAATTATAGACCTCCTGAAATTGTAGACCTTTCTAAGACACAAAGCTTCCAAATGTAATGAAGGCTCTCCACAATCCACATCAGATGTATTTTTCAGCTACATTTTTGTCACATCAATTATTTTATGCCATCCACTAAAGTATTTAAATTACTACCTATTGACTGTTACTTAATTGTCAACGCATATTGGACTTTCGACTTCGATCTCCATTAAACACACTTGCAGAGAGAAGCAAACAGCCTTAACTGTGACTAAGTCTCGAATTGGATTAGCCGATCCTGATAATAGGATCCAGATACCGGTGGTCTATACAAAAAAATAGTATTTAAATAACTTTTTAATTGGAGAGATTGAAGATGTAATAAACGCATCAATTATGACGTAGATTTAAACTCTTTTCAAATACATGTTATGTTAAATTTTTTTCTTTATTAAAATTTAAATAAAAAATTAATATAACCAATTAAAATTAAATTATCTTTTTTTTTTCAATCAATCAAATTAAAATTCTTAATGATATTTTTGTTAATCCAGATGTTTTTGGCAATATCAATATTCTCCCACCCATCCTCACTTCTATATATTACTATTTTTTTTATAACGTGCGTTGCACATAAACTAGTCCTTTGTACTCATTTAATTTTTTTATTTATATAAATTAAAGCATAAATTTTTATTTAGATTAAAATAAATACAATAGTTATTTATATTACACTTTGCCCTAAAAAATAATGCTAATTCTATGTACTTAGTTCTATTTTATATAATAAAGTGGCCTCAAAATAAAATTTAATATGACTCTTAAATCTAATATTAGCCCCTAATTTATATATGCGGATTCTTAAAATTTTAATAAGTGTCCAGAAAGTACATCAAGTTATCATTCAATCCCCAATCACATGTCCCGCAACCCTAAATCAAATATATATATATATTTATATATGATGGAAAGGTCAAAAAATAAAAAATTATTTATAGTAAAAAACAAGAAATGAAAAAGTGATTTGAATTGTTTAAAAATAGCACACACAAGCCAAAATGCTAGCGGCAATCACTTTGACTATAGTGAGAGTGTTATTTAGTGCACTAGAAAAATGAACATATTCATGTACATGGATCCTTGAAACCTCAAAAAAAAAAAAAAAAAAAAAAAAAAAAAAAAATTTTTAATTTGTAAATAACATCGTTGCACATTATAATATTATATCTATGTCTATATCTATATCCACATTATAATATCTATATCTATATCTATATCCAGATACTTCATGACTCGAAGTACCACTTAACATATAATTTGAGATATGCTCAATACCATAATCATTTACATGTAACATCATTAATTTATATCATATACTGATAAGTATATTATATTTTTCCCAAAAAAAAAAAAAAATTCTAAAGTGCAATATATGAGAACATTCATAAACTAAACCTCCCATATAATGCCACATTAATAATACTTCTTTAATAAATAAAAAATAAATCATAATTATTTTAAAAATTTTAAAATTTATATTAACAAATATACAATATACAATATACAAAATACAAAAGCCAAAAGTTAGTAAAATAAAGAAAAAAAAAACAGAAGACAAAAAGGCAAGGCTTGTACGCACAACCAATGTGTAAAAAAATTCATGCGCCCATCCATTACGCTAAAACTAAAAAATAAATTTGGCAAACATAAAAATCCATTCAAAAAGCATTGCTGCAATAGAAGAGCAGGTTTTTGCTGCTAAGCCTAAAAAACATACATTAAAAGAAAAAGGAGATACCCCGTTGCAATATTCAGACCTGACAAAACCAAGAACTCAAAGAATATGCACACAAGTTCAGGACAAGTGTATGTTAAGCCTCTTCTGAATTGAGTCAACCCAAACCTAGACATTCAGAAAGGTCTCTAGATAAACGTAATATTCAGCCTGACAACAGAACCTACCATTTCTCAAGTTAGGCAGATGAACATAATATACAGCCTGACAACAGAACCTATCATTTCTCAAGTTAGATGAGGACGAGCACTCGAAAGATCTAATTCGTATTTATGCGTAATATTGTACAAGAAAATAACATTCACCATGTTGATTACAAAAGCTATAAGTAAGGACATTCAAAATCTCTACTCAACAATGAGAATCTTTTTGTTACATACACGTGCAGCTTCAAAGAATCATTAAAGAGAAAGCTCTCATTGCAAATACCTTGAAGAGTCACTGGGCATGAAGTGGTGTAGGGGGCATGAACTGAATTAACCTTAACATGCACCTCGATCCACTTTCAGCAATATCACATGTTAGCCTGCTAATGTTTTTATAAGACTACTGGTATTAGTTAGAATGTGAAGAATTCAAGGACCTGTATCTGCAGCTGGCGAGTCTGGAATAACTTGATCAGTCAATATTGGATCTGAGTCTACTTGAGCAATTGCTAATGGAGTAGGATTGACTTCGTTTATTCTCATTGGTGCAGAACCCGTGTGATCTGTTGCTGGTTCGGCAGATATCTTTTGTGGTGAGGCACAGTTCTTTGGATCTGTTGCTGACTGGTCTACGTCCATTTGATTAGTTGCTGGTTTTGACAATTTTTCTCTTGGTGAATTTTTTGGGTCAAGATTAGCTTCATTGCTTTCAAATTCAGAAAGAAGATCCATAAACTCATTGAGTACTCGCTGGACCTTTCTATTTGATGCCATTGATGGAAGAATATCTTCTCTCAAGAGTTTGTGTTTTTTCATTCCCTGCATAGTTCCAGACAGGTGACAAAAACATCACTTCATCACATGTTGCATAGTTCCATACGAAAAATAAGCAGGGCATATATAAGAAGGGACAAATAAAGATTAAATGCATGCCTGAAAAAAAGTGGTGTTTAAAATAAATAAATAATAAATAATAAAGGAATAAACTTAACAAAAACTTGTCAAAAATAAAAGAATAAGATTGCATGTGTAATACTTCTTACTTCATAACTGGTCATTTACTAGTGCAACGATTCTTGATTTCTAAATACGTAAACTTAGGTCTAAAAGATTGATTAAGGATAGAAGAAATGGATAAATTGAATATAAACTACGGTTTGGAGAATTTTACATCTTGATTGTAGGCTGGATTTCTTTATGGAAGTGAGTATAATAGAATGGCGTTCACAAATTCTAGAAAATAAATTAAGAATTATCTGGCACGACGACAGCTAACTTAGCTAGTTGCATAAGTTTTTGTCATAATTAGTTAAGAAACGATATGGTATGACAAATTGGAAAAAGGAATAGAGAAGTTGAAACTAAACTAGGGACTTGACTGTGAATTTAAAATTCTCTATATAGTTGAGGTACTATTTGTTTTTATGGGATTCTTATTAGTAGGATTTGAAAGGAGATTATATATCATAAGTCAATATCTTATAATACACTCTCTGCTAGAGGCATAATATTAACAATGTATAACTTTTCACATGATCATTATGCTAAGTAATAAGAATAGTAGGAAAAGAAGAATTGTGTAATTGACCATCTTAAGATTCATATTCTGACTAATATGGGATCACAAGCATACAGATGTAAAGAAAGCCTTACAAGCACATAAGGATCCCAGGCCAAATTCTGTGTATCTGAAGATGTGGATTCAGCCATCCCAGTGGGAGGTCCAAGAAAACTTTCACATACCTCTCGCAAACGAGATTCGTCTGCTTCTCTGCAAATGAGATTCAACTACTTGTTACTTTACTACACAATGATATAGAGATGCCAGTTGCCAGGTACTTTGCATGAATACTGCAACAATGGAAAATTTGAAAAAACAAAATGTTCAGATAAAAACCTCGCTAGGAAGCGTATGTAAGACAGAAGGCACTGGCGATATTCATTTGGGGACTTCAAAACCAAAGAGGATGCTAACTGAGACTCCAAATGAGCCCGTGTCTGCACTCCATCATCTGTCACCCTGAGAAAACACATGATAACAGGTCAAATCATCCACAAATATGAACCTAAAGAGATACTATCCATAAGCAGAGACATCACGAAGGACTAATTAGAATTTTCGGAATTAACCAACAAACAATAATGAATCACGATAATTTCAATAGTCATGGAAAAAATCACACAAACAGGACAAAGAGAATAAATCAGCTACAATTCAATCTTTATGCAATAAATTCAGCAGTAAGTAGCAGTAAAGAATAATTTTAGCAACGCTTCTATGCTAATATTTCTCCTTAGCATGCTGAAAGTTATGAAACCTACAAATTCTTAAAAAAATCCAACAAAATTCATCAATGGAAGAATACCTGCTCCAACCTGGCTTTCTGGCCAAATATTTTCTAACATCCACCTGCAATGCAGCAAGCTCACCACTCTGAATTGAACCAAGATTCCAAGAGCTAGCAAAATTTGATGCAGGGAAGCAGTCATCTGCCACCCTCAGCCAACACATAAGATTCATGTCAAACAGGAAGGCATGGCGTGTAGCCAAAACAACAAGGGGAGAACCAGATTTCGATAACTTTGCAGATATAACTTTGATTGTTCCTGAAAGAGCAATTAAAATAATCAGCCAAATCATAGGGACAGATGTCGGAAAATGTACACAAAATAGACAGCACAATTAACAAGATATTGTAAGGCTGTCAGCCTACTATAATAAGAACAATAATATACTAGATGTGAAGCAGATGGTTTTACGAGATATCTAACCTTTTGCACACGAGTTTGGATCTGAAGCAATTAGGGAAGCCAAAGAGTCCTGAAGAAGACAGTTGCGGTTGAGTAGATCCCATACATACAACGATCCCTTCCTTGTGACCAATAACAACTTCCAACACTCATCACAGTCTACAAAGGTTGCTGCAGATCCCATCATCATGGTTGGCAAGCCACGTCGCCCACACTTTGTGTAAACCTTCAAATGTGGAACAAAAAGGTTATTCCACAGCTCACAAGATTTCTAATCAATTAGTGGAAACATCATATTAGTATGAACATATCTTCAAAACAAAAGAGACTAGTATGTTCAACCAAGACATTGAGAATGTCCTATAACCTCTGTTATGAACATTTACTCCCCAAATCTGATTAAAATATCAACCTCAATGCTTTTGGTATCAATTTATTAAAAGAGAAGAGTATATACCTTCTCATTACAAATTTATTTTAAGAGCCAAAACATATTTGTGGAAAAAAAATTCAGAAGTCACCCATTTCCACTCGTATGAATCCTCTAAATTCAAGAGGTAATACATTAGAAATCAAAAAAGCTTGTGCTAGTAAAATTGGGCAAATCTAAATGCATAAAACAGTGAATTTGATTTTAATTCAAGTTGAATGTTCCCAATCCACATTGCCATTATCCAATTCCCTCAATATGAACAAATTCCCTAAATAAGGCAACATATTTTCCAATTGGAGCAGGATAAGGTTCAAAACCCCATCCATTAAGTGAGTTCAAATCACTGTCAACTCAAATTGGGGGTTATTAATGTCTGAAAAAGAATAGGCCATCATCAATCAGCAGTCCATTCTTCTCAATCATTCTTTAACCATCTGCTAATTTGTTCTTCTAAATATATCAATGGCTCCACTGGATCAAAAAGTGTCCCTGCCACTAATAACATTCAAGATAAAGTCTTAGGTTTGAAAACCAACCAATTATTTTGGCTACTTTCTGCAACACTTCAGTGATCCGTTAACAAATGCAAACCTATTTTTTTAATATATTGCCAATTTTACAACTGAGTTTCTTTTATTATTTCTTTTTGGGCTTCGAGGACAGTCAAAAATAAACCTATAAATTTAACAAAAATAGAAATCTCGGGAAAGACTTAATTACATACCTGTAGACATCCGTCTTCACACCCAACAGCCCAGAAGTTTGCATTTCCAGCTAAAACTGTGACTTTTCCTGAGATCCTATCAGACCAAAGAGTTTGAGCCCCTCTTGTGCAAACAATTTCCGTTTCTTTCATCATACATGTACTTCCCACCCCAATAATGTCATTTACAGCATGTTCTCTAGGACGAGCTTCCAAGCAAATTGGAATAGTATCTTCCCCTACTTTCTTATCAAATACCCTAATTGAAAGAGGTGTAGTATGAGCATTAGAGGAACTGGAGGCCTTCACACTCCCAGACTGCTCCACAATGATGCTACCATCTCTTTCCGAAGAGCCTGGAACCTTCTCAATTACCAAGCTCTCTGCAATTGTAGCCCTGGCAGTGACCCCAGAACGATCCTTTGAATCAAAGCTTCTGCCTAATGTTCCTCTGAGAGAACCTTCTCGCATGCCGCCATCAGCAGGAACTACCCCATTTTCATCTTTTCCATGATTAGTTGTCACAAGAGGGAAATCAAGTGCCTGAGACTGCACCCCACCAGTTATTGTATTTGGCTGATTGGGTACACCTACTGCTTCAGGAATGATTCTCTTTCTGCCATCAGGACGCCTATATTCTCTTTGTTTCACAGGACTAGAAATCCTAGCAGAAGTTGCTGCTTTATTTAACCCATCACCTGCAGCTGCCACACTTTTTTTCCCATCATCAACTTGCTCAGAAGTCTTTGTTGTCACCCCCAAGTCAACTGAAGATTTTACAGGCATCTGATTTTGCTGAATATCTGGCACCACTTTTTTCGTTGCTGTTTGCTTGGCTGAAGCTGCTTCAAGCAATAACTGTGCTGGACTCTCTGCTAAGTTTGCTTGGCGACCTCGGACATCACCATAACGACTTCTCTTTAGCTCATCAAGCTCAGCATCACTCAGCCTGTGTCCAAGCTCTTTCATGTCAAAATGGAAAGTAGCAACTGTCCCATCCAAGGAACAGGCGAAAAGTGAATAACCATCAGGACTCCTGTTGCAAAAGAAGCAAAAATAACAATTGAGAGAGAATCATAGAGATTCAAATAAGTTCTTCAAAATGAGAGAGTCAGAATCACAAGAAAAAATAAAGTGTATAAATTAATAACAAAATGGTTAAACATTTTCAGAAAATATTAAAGTTACCAGGACAAATCTACAACACTTTGAGTGAAAAAATGTTTTGCCACAAAAAGAGGCCGCGGACTTGCAGTTGTCCACACAGTTATAGTGCGATCCTGACTCCCGATAGCAATAACATTATATGGCTGTGATTCTTTCCCTCCAATCTTAGAGGCCCCATTGGCCCACCCAACCGGTGCAGCTTTCACTTCCTGAGCACTAGCCGAATTCCTTCTAAACATGGAATGATTAAACTTCACCACAATGATTGGTGCATTATGTCCTAAGAAATCAAATGTGGCAGCCCATTCCCCCCTCTCTAGAACAGGTGCAGAATGCCTTGGCTTCTGGAAACCATGAGTAGTAGTTATGAAATGACCACAAGGGGACCATCCAAGCCGCCTAAAAAATGTAGAACCAAGCTGAAAAGTACATGCTCCAGTTAGTATGTAAAAATATGCTAGATAAATTGAAATTTATCAGCAAAGTATAAAACATACTGATTTTGCCCAGTGGCCATCTGTTCTATGGGCCAGACTCCAGTCACTTGTCCGCCATATGATAACTGTCTTATCGTCAGATTGACTCGCTATGAAGGAGCCAATAGGATCCCAAGCTACTCCTTTAACCAGGCTAGAGTGGCCTCTAAGAACAGCTGTGCAAATGCCATTGCTCATATTCCAAACATGGACAGTGTTGTCCAAACTCCCACTAGCCAATATGGAGTCATCTGGAGACCAATTAAGATCCACCTACTTTAAGCATTGAAAACAGCAATCCAGTTACATGGTACCATCAGGAAAACGAATATCAGTATTATGATGAAAGGAGACATTTAAATGAAGCACAAAACTCAAATGATTTATTCATCCATTTTTTTTTTTTCTTTTTATTTAAGTCCTTAGCATATGGATGTAAAACCAGCCTTTATAGCAGACTCCTCTGCAGAGGTCACAAAAAAAATTATCAAATTTCTTTAAATGAAGAAGAAGAAGAAGAAGAAGAAGAGAGTTTCTAAAAACATATATATGCATGATACATGCAGCAAAAATCTCAACCCAAAGAGCAAAACTGAAAGAATTCTCTTTAACGTAGTGGCCAAGCATCCCAGTGTGAAAGCAATTTCATTACCACATCTGCAGTATGCCCTCTCAAAGTCATCGCAACCTTCCAGTTCTCAACGTCTGGTGGCTCTCCACTGCCAAACTCAGTGGTACCTGAACCAGGCTTCCTTTCATGAACTAAAATCACCTGATCATCAGATCCAGATGCAACATACCGACCATGCTTAGCCCACCTAACGCAATTGACTGATCCAAAGTGATCACGAAGAGTTGCAAGAAGCCTCTGTATTGGTTCATTAACCTCCAAGTCCCTGCTAACAGATTTCATGTTCCATATCCGAACCTGCATTTAATTAAGTAAATTTCATATTGGGGGTACAATAAATTCTATCACACCAGTTTTATGCAAAGTAATAATAATAATTAATATTATGATAAGATCAGAAGATCTTCCTCTCCTTTCTACTAAATGAGACTCTTTGCTTAAAAATTAGCAACCACTAATTATCTTGAGATTGGATGAGTCGAGTTGCTCATTTTACAGCATCCCACCTAAATCACAAATTTAGGTTGGAGACCAGTTTTTCTATTAATTGGTAAAAATAGATTTAAAAAGTCATAAAACCCATAAAATGTAATATTATAGAAACATGACCAGAGTCCAAGCAGACAAATACAGAAGATATTACATTATGCTACTCCTGTACTCACTTAGCATTACCAAGCTTACTTATTATTTCAGAGAACACATATGGGTAGCAGCAAAAAATTTTAATATCTCATCTATTATGTAAGGTAAACATCTTGCAGATAATAGATTTTGTTAACTGTCATTAATCATAACACATGCAACACTCTTTTAAAATAAGGGAAAATAATAAATTAGTCCCTAAGTTATAGTCAAATTTACCCATGAGGACCTCCATTTCTAAAAACTAACTGTGAGGTACCTAAATTACGATTTTATTAACACTTTGGTCCTTCCATCCAAAAAAGAGAGACCAGAGTGTTAATGAAAATCATAAAAGGACCTAAATGTTAACGAAAATCATAAGTTAGAGACTTTATAATTAGTTTGACCCTAATTAAGGACCAATTTCTCAATCAATTGACAGTTCGAATAGGCTATTTTGGATGGGAGGATTAACGTGTTAATGGAAGAATCACAAGTTAAGGATCTCATAGTTAATTTCTGAAAATAGAAGTCTTCATGTGTTAATTTGACTATAACTTGGGATCAACTTATTATTTTCCCTTAAAATAAAGTAACCCTCTCCATCCTTTCATGATACCAATGCCACCATATCAAAACGAGCAATTGTTAGTCTAACGGTACACATCTTGGGGTCAAACCACAAGGTTGCAATTTGAATCGTAAGGATTTTCTACAAATTGCCCTCTCCTAACATCCCACTTCAATAGTATTTTTCACATAGAATAAGAACAGAAACAGATAAATGTAAGGTGTGACCAGTCACATACCATGTGATGCAAGTAAATCTTTAATATGCAAAGAATAAAATTTGACGCAATTGAAAGATAAAATGTTAAAAGCAAGGGAAAAATTATTGTCAGGCTCCACCAAAACTTAGCACATGCTATACCAACACCTTTTTCCTGCCACAACCACTTCTGCACAATCAGGTATGCTTTTAACACAATTATTCTATGATCACCAATTGCATTCAAGTATTACTTCTAAGATCATATTAACAGCATTCAGCCAAGACACCATTGCTTCAACACATTGAAGAAACAATTTCCTATACTGAAATGGTACAAAGAAAATAATTAAATTGAAGGCGATATGTGTGAATATAAAAATTAAACCCAGAGATTCACAAAATCAATAAAAATTGATAGCAATGATATGCATTACATTCTAAAATAATTCAGCATGCAAAGGCATCATAAAATGCATTTAGAGAATAATTCAAATGTTTAAGCTTCAAGATGCAATATAGCTTCAAACAGGGATATTCCTAGCCCCGTGTATCCTGCATTTTATGGAATCCTGGATAATAGAAAAATACAAAATTACAAGAACTCTCTTCTAGATTTTATAAAAAATCAAACGCTTATGGAGGATGAAACAGATCCCGTTAACCAAGTACTCGCAGTGCATCCTTTCAAGTAAGAAATATTCATAATCAGAATTTGAATAGCTAAGCAACCAAAACAATCATGGAGAACGCAGAAGGTGACTAAACTAGTGGCATTGTGCAAAATTAGCCAAAGCTTTTTACATCCTCTTATAATGGCAAATCCAATAATTCTACTAGCAACCAAACATGAAAATTGATCCGGAAGGAGCATACCTTGTGGTCACCTCCGCCAGTAGCAAATCTGAGACCACCAGGTTGAATGTCAATGGAGAAAATCTGCATTCCCTCATGTCTAACCCAACTGGGTTTCTCTGCAATCATCTTTCTTTAGTTTGTACAAACCCAAACAGCTCCTCCTTCACTCTTCGCTAAACCTCCAAAAGGGTATCAAAATTCATAGCTTTCTTCAACACTAGAAACCCCCAATTGCACTATAATCAAACCCAGCTCACCTAATTTGTCGTAATCCAAAAAAAAAAAAAAAAAATTTCTCATTATTGGCAATCATCTTTCTTTAGTTTGTACAAACCCAAAACAGCTCCTCCTCACTCTTCGCTAAACCTCAAAGGGTTCAAAAATCATAGCTTTTCTTCAACACTAGAAACCCCAATCTGCACTATAATCAAACCCAGCCACCTAATTTGTCGTAATCCAAAAAAAAAAAAAAAAGGAGAAACGCCAAATGAAAAAAAAAAAAAAAAAGAGAACGCAAATTTGTGGTTTTAAAACCCAGAAGAAACACTATTAGGAACTATGAAACCCTAAAACCAAGCTGCCTTTTCAGCTTAGAACTTCGAGAATCGGCTCAAAGGGTGCAGAAATTCAAGATTTTGCAAAGTAAGTACCCTATATTGAAGAGAATTACGGTGTGGAAGAAGCTAAACAGTTGCTCAGCAAAAAGTTTTTTTCTTTTTTCTTTTTATAAATTTTACTAGACAAATTCAAAATTTTAAGAACTAGAAAAAAAGACCCAATTGCTGTTCCGAAAAAAATTAAAACCCTAAATTTATAGTAATTTGTGAAAAGAGGATTTTTAAAATAAAACTAATTTGAGGGTTTTTGGACAAGAAAGGACCTAAATTTAAGAGAATTAAAAGAGAGATTTTGTATTGTAACGGTCAAAATCTAAGCTGAGAAGGTTGTGTGTGTCTGTGTGAGAGTGTGTGCTGTTGGAGACAGACTGCAAATGGAAAAAATACAGAGAAAAGTAAAAGAAAAGAATCAGAGTAGCAAAAAGAGTAAAGAAGAAGAAAAAAAATAGGTTAGATTCGAGAGAGACATAATGGTAGAGTTTACGCCATTAAAAATGGTAAGTTGCAATAAATTATATATTTTTAAAAATAAAAAAAAAATGCCCTAATGGAATATAGACTTTTCTTCTAAGAAAAAGAAAAAAAAAAGAAAAAAATTATTTCATCACACATTATTGTCAAGATAAAATGGCAGGCAATCTATAGCTATAAAAGTGCTTAATGTGAAGCTAAATGGACATTATTGTTTTGTCCATTAGCAGCCGTACTAAATAACATATTTAAAGAAGTGTATAAAAACCCCAAATTTGTATTGGTAAAATGTATATTATGCCTGACAATAGATATTGGTTTGAATTTTCTATTTTCCAATACTTAAAAATAAAAAAATCTCAAATTTTCTAAACATGAGAATTGGAATTAAAATGCGGTTAAACTTAAAAAACCGTTCGACCCGTAGAGACCTATAAGACCGGTCAATTCTATTTTTGATTAAAAATGCGCTTTTAAACGGAAGAGTTTTATGTTTCACTATTTTTTATACTATAATATTATATTTGCCGTTTTAACTTCACACGCACCCTATCATTGAACTATTCAAGCAATCAAAATCTCTAATTTCTAGATGTATAGAGTTTTAATCCAATGGATATAAATTCTAGCTAATGGATTTGAACTATGCATTAAATGTTAAAATTTTAGTTTAATTTGATTTTTAATGCTGTTTTGGATATTAATATTTAATTAAACTAGAAATTTAATATTTGAACTTAATTATAATTTATTTTATTTTTATTGCTATTTTAATGCTCTAATAATTTTATGATCTCTAATTAGATTTGAAAGTCATTTATAATTATTTAATTTAATTATAAGTTATTAATATTTTCGTGATCCAAACTATTTACCCGTTGGTTAAATCAAAGAACTATTCATCCAGTCCTTTGGCCATATCAATGTTTGAATCGAATTTAATAACGTTGCCTATAAACTATACACAATATAATATTGAATTAATTTTCTCCATACCACTAGACGTTACAATAAAAATACATTATTTTTTGAAGTGAATTATCTATATAAGATTAGAATGAATTTATTTATAAAATTAAGATTTTAAAATCTTGGGCTTTCACTGTTAAGAAAAATAGGTTAAAGCAAAAGGCTAGGCGGTGCAAACAAAAAAAATAATGATGTTCTTAATTAGGTAAACCTTTATAACGAAATGAAATAAGTAGATCTAGTTCTCTTTAGGGTGATTTTTTTTTCAGTTTTTAATTTGAAAATCAAATCAAACTGACTCAATTCTATCATATTCAAAGATAATTATTTTAGAAATTTGGTTACCTATGGTTTGGATATATAAAATCATTTGATTTTCAATTTTTAATTTCGATTATCATATACAACTAATTTAAAATAGCTAATTTGATTTGAAAAATCGAATTAAACTAATTTAATTGAGTATGAATCTATTTATATCATTTAGTTTTAAATTTAAATACTATAAAAATATATTCTAATTAATCGAAAATGAGCTAATTCCGTTTAGTTAACCGAGCGCTCGTCCCTATAATTTCTATTAGGTTAGCGTAGCAGGAAGACCACCCTTTGTTGGAAAATAGGTTATAGGTGTAGAACATTCACGTCTTGGCGGTGAATCGGCGAAATTCAAATTTAAGGCCACACCGGAAAAGACAAACTTAATCTTTGTAAAAGAAAGAACCGTGTATCCTGTCGTTGTCGTACGGCCTGACCGGCGTTTGTCAAAAAGGAAATAAGTTTGCGTAATAATGCTTCGTCAAATTCAAGTTTAATCCCAATTTGAAAACGACCTCGTTTTATTTAGAGGTGGAAACTTTCTTCTGGTCTCGCCATCGTTTCAACTGAACAATGCTTAGTTTTCTCGTCTTCATGCTCTTAGATATCTGATATCTCAGCTTCTCACAATACTGGCAGTTTGTTGGAACTCATGTTGTGTACAAAGAGAAGAAAGAATTAAAAGCTCTCGACTTTATGCAGTAAAGAAAGGAGAGAATGACCCTAAACCTCACTTTGGAAAAACTAACAAAATCCAGAACAAAATTAAACTTGAAAACTGTACGACCACAGTTCTATCATCAACTCCACACTCATAATTCTCTGTACCAATCCCATGTCATTGCCTTAAACCTCCGGGAGTCTTTAATAGACGTTAAATGCCCAGCCGCCCACCACGTGTTTGATAAAAGTCCCCAACAAGGCCTTTTACAGTGCAATCATTTGCTTTTTGAGTACTCTCGTAATAATTCTCACCATGAAGTTGTTAATCTCTTCGTGGGTATTCACCGTTCGGGGATTTTGATTGATGGATCAACCCTTTCCTGTGTTCTCAAGGCTTGTGGATGCTTATTTGATAAACATATTGGGATTCAAGCACATAATTATTGTGTAAAGTCTGGTTTTTTGGAGGATGTTAGTGTTGGAACATCTCTTGTTGATATGTACTTGAAAAATGGGAGTGTTGAAGAAGGAAGGAGAATGTTTGATGAAATGGAAGAAAGGAATGTAGTGTCATGGACATCGTTGCTCACAGGTTATGCACAAAATGGATTGAATGTGGAGGCACTGAAGTGTTTTTTTAGAATGCAAGCAGAGGGGATTAAGCCTAACCCGTTTACATTTGCAACTGTTCTTGGAGCTTTGGCAGATAAAGCTATGGCGGAAAAAGGAATTAAAGTTCACACAATGGTAGTAAAGAATGGGTTTGAAGAAAATAGATTTGTCTGCAATTCACTGATTAATATGTATTCAAAGTCAGGGATGGTTGGAGAAGCTAGGGCTATTTTTGAGAGTATGGCTGATAGGGATATTATTACTTGGCACAGTATGGTTACTGGCTATGTAACGAATGGGCTTTATTCGGAAGCTTTTGAGACATTTTATCATTTAAGATTAGCTGGTCTAAAGCTCACAAGTATGCTTTTTGCATCCGTTATTAAGTCATGTGCTAATATCAAGGAACTGGGTTTTGCTAGGCAGCTTCATTGTCAGGTCTTAAAGGGTGGGTTTGATTTTGATCATAATGTTAGGACAGCACTGATGGTAGCTTATAGTAAAAGCAAGGAAATGGATGATGCTTTTAAGATATTTTCTGCAATGCATGAATTTCGAAATGTGGTTTCCTGGACAGCTATGATTAGTGGGTACTTGCAGAATGGTAGAGAGAAGCAAGCTCTGAATCTATTTTGCCAAATGAGCAGAGATGGTGTTAGACCAAATAATTATACTTATTCTACTATTCTTGCAGCTCAACAAGTTGTTTCTCCTTTTGAAATACATGCACAAGCCATCAAAAGTAATTATGAGAAGTCAGCGTCAGTTGGAACTGCACTTTTAGATGCTTATGTTAAACTAGGATATCTTGTTGAAGCTTCAAAAGTTTTCGAAAGAATAGATGAGAAGGACATTGTGGCATGGTCAGCAATGATAGCTGGATATGCTCAAATAGGAGACACAGAAGGAGCTGTTAAGATATTCATCCAAATGGCAAAGGAAGGCGTTGAACCTAATGAGTATACCTTCTCTAGTGTAATTAATGCATGTGCTGTCCCTACAGCAGCAGTAGAACAAGGAAAGCCGTTTCATGCCTGGTCAATTAAGTCAAGATTTAATGATGCTTTATGTGTCAGCAGTGCCCTTGTCACGATGTATGCAAAGAGAGGGGATATTGAGAGTGCCAGTGAAGTTTTCAAGAGGCAAGAGGTGAGAGATATAGTTTCTTGGAACTCAATGGTCTCTGGATATGCGCAGCATGGCCATGGGACGAAGGCTCTTGAGGTATTCAAGGAGATGCAAAGGCTAAAATTGGAATTGGACGATGTGACATTTACTGGTGTGCTTACAGCTTGCACGCATGCTGGATTAGTGGAGGAAGGTCAAAGACACTTCAATATAATGGTGAAAAGTCACCACATTGAACCAAAAATTGAGCACTATTCTTGCATGGTTGATCTATATAGCCGGGCTGGAATGCTTGGAAAAGCCATGGATGTCATAAATAGTATGCCATTTCCTGCAGGTGCAACTGAATGGCGAACTCTCTTGGCTGCTTCTCGTCTTCATCACAATGTAGACCTGGGAAAGCTTGCAGCAGAAAAGCTCATAACTCTGCAGCCACAACACTCAGCTGCATATGTTCTGCTATCCAATTTATATGCTGCCCAAGGAAATTGGCAAGAAAGAGCAAAAATAAGGAAATTGATGGATGAGAGAAAAGTGAAAAAAGAAGCTGGTTACAGCTGGATTGAGGTGAAAAAGAAGACATATTCATTTTTGGCAGCTGATGTTTCTCATCCCATGTCAGATGAAATTTATTCAAAACTTGCAGAACTAAGCATCCGATTGAAGAATGCTGGCTATCAGCCCGATACTAATTATGTGCTTCAGGACATTGATGATGAACACAAGGAAACCGTTCTTTCTCAACATAGTGAAAGACTGGCCATTGCTTATGGATTGATTGCCACACCTGCAGGAACTCCTCTGCAGATTGTAAAGAACCTAAGAGTCTGTGGGGACTGCCACACTGTTATTAAGTTAATATCAATGATTGAAGAGAGGTATATTGTTGTCAGGGATTCAAACCGTTTCCATCACTTTAAAGGCGGTTTTTGCTCTTGTGGGGATTATTGGTGAGGGCTCATTGGCTTACGAGTTTCATTTAGAAACATCCAGTGGAAAGCTGAGGACAAAAAGACCATCCTCAAGCTGAGAACTGAATCTTGTTTACACGCTGCAATAATTTCACCAGAAATAGAACCACAGTTTGGCAATATGATTTGAATCTTCTACACAATAACTTTGTTGTGAAGGTTTATGAAGCAAAAACTGATGTATTTCTTTAATTGTTTCTGATCCTTTTTGGATCAGAATGAAATCTAATTTTTCTGTATAATGTTTCTCCTTCTTCACCATTGAAGATCAGATTAGGAGGCTCTTTGCAAGATAAGGAACATTGTGAAGTAAAACAACAGCAGACAGGTAAAAGTTTTGGGAAGTTGGAACCTTGTATATTAGAATTTCGTAAAAAACATGCTGAATTACTTTTGCAATTGGTAGGACCACAAAGAGGTAGGAAAAATATTAGTATTCTTTTGCTTTTGTTAATGCTTTTCCTCTTATAATAAGTTTTACACTACATATATGGTTAATTTATATTCATTTTCTGCAGATCCTGCTATGCAAGGGAGAGGTCGACAGCAAGATGATTGAGTTGACAGGGAAAAAGGGAATTATCCGCTGAAGCAGAAACAAGTATACTTTTTCAATAGCATGGTTAGCTCCAACTGATTTTTTAATTTTAAGGCAAACAGGCTGGGGAGAGAAGCGATCAAGGAAAAGAGTGCACAGGTTAAGTCAACAAGCTTGAAGATGGCAAGTCTGGCATTTTTTAGAAAGTGTCTGCTGATGCTTCAGCATCGATCAATATCTGCCAACAATGCGTCTGTGGCCTGTGGTTGATGATGCAGTGTTCATTCTCGTGGCTATTTTTGTCTCAAGGAGATTAAGCAATACCAAGATATTCAAGGGATGCAAATGATTCTTCAAATCACATACAGCTGCGATGGACCATTATTTTCCTGCAAACATTTTAAAAAAAATTAAACGTTGAAATTTTTTTTATATGTATAAGTTAGGATCATATCTTAACCTCTACATTGTCATGAACTCGTACCATTGTAGTTTGATTACTGCAAGATTGAACTCTTTTCGAGCCTAATTAATAATATAATTTGAAAAAACAAAATATAGAATTGCAAGTGTCAATGACACCAACAGTAGTCTGATGAAGAGGATGCCTTAGGCGCTTGTTTATTATATTTTCATAAAGAAAATTTGATCCAAGAAACTCCCATGAATATTTAATGTGGAGCTCATTTATCCTACTCATACACAGAAACCAAAGAATCGCTTTCTGCAAATAAACTCTCATGCATAATTGCTTTCTCGCCATTACATGCTATAGTTCTTGAAATTGAAGTTGAGTTTAGTTTAATCACTCAGCGCAAATTAATCAGTAAATCTTGTTTTGCTGTTGTGCAGAAATGCCCAAGTTCAACAAACCGGATCAAATATCCTGATGGATGAGAATTGATTGAGACTATCCTTCGGGAGTTAGATAGTCTCTTTTTAATCAATGGAAGGCGATTTTGATTTCTTGATCTTTTATTAGTAGTATATGCTTGCTTTGATAGCTGAAAATTATCCAATCTTAAGCTTTGCGAGTTCTATTCTACTTGGAACAAATATTGTAACCAGAACTTCATTGCAAAATGGAAAAACATTTGATATTTTTACTAATTTGTTTATCATGAATATGGAATTTCGTTTTTTTTTTTTTTTTTATGTTTGTCGGCCGTCGTGTGTGCGCGATTATTGGTGAGGCTCATTGGCTTTACGATGTTTCATTGCCAAAGTTGCAAGCGCAAAGCAGTCCAGCTGGAAAGTGCTGAGTGTACGCAACAAGCTTAACACTGGAGCCCAGTCCCCCGTCAAGCCTGGCAGACACACACGCCGCAAAAAGTACTGTTTGTTCCTACACTGGGCAGCCCAGCGCTCACACACTATCGCCAATTTTCACCATGAAGATAAGGAGATTCAATTTTCTCTGGCTCAAGTGAGTCTGATCGTGAGTCTTCACTACACCACACACGCCAACTATTAGTCATGTGGAAGGTGTTGATTATACACGCGCACAAACACTCCACTCCGCGATTTTACTTGCTCCAATTGTTTCTGAAATCCTTTAGAGCAAACTTTCACACCTTCAGATCAATAAGTTGACCACGATCAACACTTTGTGCGCTTGTGGATAGGCCTCATATAAATGAGTTTCGTCCATACAAAGTAACGAACCAATTGCATAGCAAATCAGATATCTTAGGAGCTCTTTGGCAAATAGGAACATTGGGTGCAAGTTTAAAAAACAAAAAACAGGCAGGACAGGGTAAAAGTTTGGGAGTGAGCACTATATCCCGAAAAAATATTAGTTTAGTTAAATTTCGATAGACGTAAAACGAAATAGAGCTAAAGACTATAATAACTTATATGGCAATTTTGATAGGACTCACAACATGAAAAAAAAAGGTAGGTATTGAAAAGTAATGTAGTAATATACATTATCTCTGATTTTTAAGTTAAATGCAATTTTCACTACTTACTAATATATTAGAGGTTTTACACGTACATATATGGGTTGAATTGTCACTATCAAATTAAGTTATCTAAAGCAATAGAACCTAGCTCATCTAGCAAGTGATTAGCGAAGGTCGGATCAGCAAAGATCAACAATCTGAGTGACAGGGGAGAAAAGGGAACATTTACACAGATCTGATAGCAGTAATTACCTAAGCGGTATAAATACATATTTATACAATAGCCTAAAAAAAAATTGAATTGTTAGTCTCCTAATACTGATTTTATTTAATGTTTAAGGTCTCTATACGAGGAATGGAGAGAGGCAGAGAAGAAACTAATCACAAAGGAAAAGTCTATGCTCATATCTAGAGAGTCGAAAAACAAAGCATTGACATGAAAGATTGAGAGACGATTAGATCTGTGCTTTACGTTTTAAGGAAACGCGTTGTCCTGAGCTCTCTAAGATAAGCTTTATCAATAATGCAAACATACTCGGTAACCACTTTATACTAATCCTACCCAAATCAAAGTGCCTTCTACAAGTGCTGCTTTAAAAGTGTGTGTTATGATATACCGATCCTTATATATGTGTTTTATCCAATTTCTACCGACTGTAGGCGATGGATTTTATAGTTGTCTAGCTAAGTAATGTATCCAAGCATAAGTACTCACAATATATCTTCAAGGGATGTGCATGAGATGTATTGATATTCTTCAAAATCAAATTAGTTCATACCAAGCTGTCGAGATTTTACTAGGAAAAACTCTTGTATCTTTTCCTCCAAAATCACATTTGTATAAAAAGAATAATAAAAACGATTATAGAGAGTCACTTTGTGTATTAAGTTTGGTCCACAATATACTAAAAGATAATGATACAATTCTATATATCCAACCTTACATTAACAAATGTCAAGATACTCTGTGACCATTTAGTTTTGAAAAACATTGTCACTGCAAGGAACCCAAAACTGGCTTCCTCGAGCCTTAACTTCAACAAGAACCTTGCTAGCAATAGAGCTTCATGTATAGAAAAAAACATGAAAACATTAGTAGTTTATTAGAGCAAAAAAAAAAGTAGTCAATTTGCAGCCCCCAACAACTCGTAACGTCTTGATGAAGAGGCCGAGTACTCTTTCACGACGGCGCCCTACCCCGGGTGTATCTTGTTATTCTTCCTCATAAACCATAATATAGTTGAAGGCATCCCAAGATATACAACCACTCCCGGCTCGATGAAGATACAGTGTAAACGTCGCGGAGCTCATTGTCCATCGCCCTTTCTCCTCGAATATCCACCCAGTATCAACCCTAAAAATTTGACAGCCTTCTCTCTGCAAATAAACTCTCATGCATAATTGCTTTCTCCAGTACCATGCTATAGTTCTTGAAAATTGAAGTGAGTTTAGGTTTAATCACTCAGCGCAAATTCCAGATCACACAGTCTAATCTGTTTCTCAGCTCTTGTGGCCAGAGCATGCAAGATTTTTCTCTCAACAGAATTATCGCTCATGCCCAATCTCAACAAACACGATCCATATCCTTGAATAGAGTATGATTAACATAGTTGAAGACGTATCCCTAATCGAGTTAGAATCCAGAGTATGCTCCTTTTTGAAATGCAAAATAAAGGCACAAATAGGTTATTTCATTAATAAATTACTTTGATTCCTCCTGTCTCCCTGGAGTATCTATAGCTTGGCTTGATAGCCTTTGAAAATTTATCAATCTTAAGCTTTGGCGGAGTTTCCTTTCTACCCTGAAGCAAAAAAATGTAATTTGATCGGAACCACCAGGAATTCCCTCTCATTGCTGCTCCCACAAGAGTCAAAAAAAACATTTCACTCTGATCAAACAATTTTTTCTAAACTAATCATTAATCTTATACATGAGATAATTCCATAAATATTATACGTTTTATTTTTGTTTTTTTGACACTGTATGTTTCTGCCCAGCATAATAAAATAATCACTTTAGAGTAAGTGTCTCCATCGAGCACCAATATTCATTACTGCGGGATATAAACCTTGAATATAATAGTTTTTTTCTTACCCTCCCAACTTATTTCCTCCTAGGGTTACATGGCCACTATTTCGAATACCTACAAGATAAATAGTACTGCTTAGTTTCTTGAATATTCTAGGTCGGTTACTTAAGTGCCATGGTTTATCACTGGCCCTTCTCTCCTAGCCTCCTAAAAATTAGGGCGACCACCAAAACTTCACTCTCCAATATATATATTCGTCAATCATTAAGACTATTTCATTCCTAAGTGTATTCTCCTGTTTCAGAGTGAAAATATCGTAGTATCCATGTAGCTAAGTCTTGCCGCTTTTTCGAGATACCATTCGTCACAAGTATTTGTGTAATAAATTAATTTTGTTTTTTTTTTTTTTTTTGAACTGATATGTTTTGAAGTTAATATTACTGTTAAAGAATTGCAGCATATCATATGGAGAAACTTGATATATTTGTTTCACTAACTATTCCTTGTACATCCCAGTCATATATACAGTTGATTGTTAGTTGAAAAAGTCGTTACTTTTCATTATCATTTGCCCTTTTTTAGCCCTAAAAAGATACCCATACTCTTATTTTATGCTAATTAGCATCACAGATTTGTTGAGTGTATATATCCATGTAGCTAAGTCTTTCCGTTTTTTCAGTACCATATCACAAGTATTTTATAATTGCAAAAAAAAAAACTTCTTTTGGACTACCAGACCTCCATTTCTATTGCACATGTTGAAGTACCAAATGGCCAATCAGATAATTCTCGATAAACACTTTTTTTCTTTTTTTTGGTAAAATCCATGCCAGAAAGGACTAACTTTTTTTTTTTCACCTTCAATTATATGTTATTCAAGAAAATGGCTCCAAATTCTTTAAACACTGCAATATCAGGATTAAACTAAGACTAGGCCTTAGAGAGATATACTTGAAGAGCAAATTGATAAAGCTTCACTTAACAATTACCAGCTCTGTTTTTGTTTAAAAAAAAAAAAAAAAAATCAAAATTTGAGGGAAAGAAATTTGCAATCTTCAACGATTCATTCTAGCATTGATCCAATGATTTTTTGAGAATCATTAACTATTATTAATAAATTTCTGGGTTGCAAAAGTTTATTTTTCAAATAACTAAATTTATACTATTCAAATATAAAAACAGAAATTGAATTTCTTACGACCCGAACCAAAACATAAAGTCCTATTCCAAGGATTATATTTCATTCTCCATTATAGGTCCAACCAAAAGGACCAAAGTGAATCACATGTTTCTACAAAGAAAGCACATTGAGACCAATAGGACTCATAGTACAAATAGCATTGCTCCATGTTAAAGCTCCAAACACAAAACTTCCATTACTTGTTTTGAAAGGTGTAAAATCAATCCTGAAGGATATGACAGGTGTATCTCTCCTGTTCTTGTAAATTTGAGTATGGCAGGTGTAACTTTAACACCATCTGGGTAATCTACATTTGCCATAATAAGTAACCATTCTATGTACTGATACATTTCCTTGCATTTTGGACACACCAATAGAAGGGTAGTTGAAATCATAGGATTGTCTTGAGTTCTGGGAATAAGTTGGCTGTCCTGTCAGGTTT